CACTGCCATTAGTGCAGTTTGATGGCATCTCTTGTCCAACTCTGGCAGCTATTTGTGTATTTCAGCAGGGATGACAGAATGACTAGACAATGAAGAAGCTTACGTAACCTTAGGACCACTTCAGAACATTTTAATAACACCATAGAAAACGCGTGAACGTAACACATCAAGTCAGTGTAACAGGACCAGTTTCTGTACTAAGTGTTTCTTAGTACAGAAATTACATGAGTTAAACTCATGTTTAAGAAACCAGCTTGAGATGATATGAGTGTTGTGGTATCCTGTTCAAAGCCGCCATTAAGAGATGAGTTCACTGTGGTCATATAGGGACAGACATGGTCAGCAACAACACTGTGAAAGGCTATGATGACTAAATCTTGCTCAGCTGCCACCATGAGGCTAAAAACCACAGCAGCATGAGATGTTAATGCAATCATGACAGGTACCATTCTTTACTGTTTACACCAAATTGTGACGCTGTCATCTAAATGATACAGCAAAAATGTATACAGAGATGCTTATATGCATATGCTTGTATTATTAAAAGGAATATCTAAGGTTCATCCAGGTTGCACTGTGTTGAGCCTATTGATATCTATCATACATGCCCAGTTTTTTTACAGTCTGTATTGTTTCTTAAGACTTTCTGTAACTGTATTATGGAGAGATATGTATATCTCTCTATAGATATCCACCTGTCAGATATGTGAAGCCTAAAGGTGAGTACGCATTCAATTCCTTGTGGATGAGCAGTTTCTGAAAAAGACACTCATGCTGTTTCAACTACCTTTCCCAATGCTACACTTTATCTCCAGCAGTAGTCTTGACCATGTCTACATTCTTTAAAGCAGTGAGATTCTGCCACGTGACTAGCCGATTAGGTATTTGCTATAAAGAGCAGTTGGGCATAAAGTGGCTGGTGGGTGTATGGGACCTTTATTCAGATTTGTTCCACATATCGGAGGTCACATAAATGTTGAGGCAGAAGAACTAGAGTGGGGACAGAAATGCCTCTTCATTTCAACAGTGAGTCCTC